TCCTTTTCTTTTCTTTTCTTTTTTTTTTTTTTTTTCTTTTTTTTTTTTTTTCTTTTTTTTTTTCTTTTGTTTTCTTTTGTTTTCTTTTTTTTCTTTTCTTTTGTTTTCCTTTCTTTTCTTTTCTTTACTTTTCTTTACTTTTCTTTTCTTTACTTCTCTTCTCTTTCTTTCTTTTTTTTTCTTTTCTATTCTTTTGTTGTTTTCCTTTCCTGTACTAAACAATGCAATTTATTATAAATTTAGTTAATCATTTTATTTTCCTTGAACATAAATGTATGGTTCGACTTTGGGAGAAAAACATGCATTAAGTATTTTTCAATGTCTTCAATCAATGTCCGGGCCAAAATGACATAATTACCTCAAGGAGTGTATTCAACTTGTATCAGGGGCAGGGAAGGGTCCAAGATTTTCTGGCGGAGGAGGTGCACAAGTCCGAAATAATAGATAATAATAATAATAATAATAATAATAATAATAATAATAATAATAATAATAATAATAATAATAATGACTTAATAGAAAATATAACAAAATAAAAAACGGTCATCACGTTTTTTGGTGAGTCGTTTTCGCTAAAAACAGATAGTATACGTCACACGTTGAGTAAGTTGAGAAAACATTAAATGTGAAAGTATTTACAGCTTTAAGCCAGGATTGAAAGCAATAGAGGAAATCAAATATTGTTGCTCAATACTGGGGTCCAAATATTTACTTTAGCTTTACTTTCAGTGCACAACATAGTCATGGTGATATTCATGTCTTACCAATAAGGCAATCAAATCTACATTTGTATTTTACTTGTCATTTCCTGTAGAAGGCAATTATTGATCTGTTGGTACTTGGTACTAATTGGATACTGGGTAATCCCTTTGGCAGCTCTCCAAGGGTGCTATATTGGGATATGAGGCGAGTAACTGCAAGGAGCGCCACTTCTACCTTGTCAGTTATTGTAATAAAGATAAAGATCTTTGCCAAAGCGAAAAGTCATTTTCATTTGAGATATTGCTTCATTGAGCAGTATTGATCATTCTCTTGACGTCATTTTGCTAAAAGAAAATAAGAGGAACCAACTGATTATATGACTATTGTAAAACATCGGGCAAGTAAAAGGAAAAAACTAAATTAATAATCCAATCTCTATGTATTTTTTAAAATTATTTTGTTGATTATTCTGTAATTAGCTATGGATACCTACCGCATGCTGTTCTACATTGTACCGATAATACTGGTTTTGGCTCATACATCTCAGTCTGAAGGGCAGTCATTTGGTAAGTTGGAGATATTTTCTTCGCCTCTATCATTATATTTGCATTCATATTACTATTATTATTATTATCACTACTTTTATCGTTATCATCATTAAGAATACAATTATAATTTGTTTGCAATCCATTTCATCGTTAGTTAATATTATTAGTATTTGTATTGATATCATCAATTATCATTGTTATTATTTTAACTATTATCAATACTATTGTTATTATTATCATCATTATTATCATTAATGTTACTATGATAACTAGCACTCAGTACTAATGGTATACGTATAGCTAATAGTAGAAGTAGGATCGTATCATCATCATCATCATCACTATCATTATTACAAGCAATTTTTCCCTCTTCAATCGGTTGTAGTCGTAACTTAAGATTTTGTTGTGTACGACAACACAAAGACATGCCATGTTTTTTTCTTTCTATATAATTATGGATTTTAACTTCTATAGTAACACAACAAATTCCCATCATTTTTTCTTTAAATATGTGTCATAATGCTGGAATAATATATGTACAATATACATGTATGTATTTATGTTTTAACAAAAAATAACTACTGCAGATTTCAAGGATACAGCACGACTTAAAAAGAGAGAGGGTATCAGTGAATTTTAAATTTAATAAACGACATATAAATACACCTATTGTAAAATACATTCCATAATTTTTTCAGCTGAAAATAATCGCACTGATTTTTTTTTTTTTTTTTATAGAGATGCGTTCTAAACCTATCGTACTAGAATAATTTGCATAATGAGAGAAATGTTCCACATTTTGCACAATAGGATTCATGAATATTCATTGACTGCCTGTTAAAAGCAGTTTCTTCGAACTTGAATTGGGCTGCTTGGTCAGGCCACCCCCCCCCCCCCCCCCACAGTGGCGACTATCTGTTCCCCTCCTTCCCAAAATAGGAGATGTTTCTACATGATCCAAAATACAATTGTTGTTGAATTTGATATTTCAGAGAAGAGAAAAAAGTCGCACACATTATAGGACGAACTTAATCTATTTTGTAGTGTTTTAGCATTATTTCAAAGAATATTTTTACAACTTCAAAGTCACGTAAACTGGTTTTTATCATAAAATTGTCAACAACTAAGTATACCCCCCCCCCCTGTATTGAAAGTTGAGGTGTATTAATTTTGTACAGGCCATCCCCCTTCTTGAAAAGTGGGGAGATGTATATACCACCGGCCCGTTACCTGCGATTTACGCCTTTGGTAGAACTGAATTCTTATTTCGAATGCTGTTTTGTTCTTCACTTTGCCAAAAAGCGCAAATTGGATTTTGCATTCTCATTGTCTGGTGTTCAGTCATGCAAATAAAGATACCAAACAAAGATTGTATCATGGAACGCAGGGGGGGGGGGGGGGGGGGGTTATACCCAGAAATACCATTAACCCCTCGATGAAAGGTTCGCATTTACAAAATACAAAATTGAAAAGTTGTGAACGCCCCTTTTTTTTTTAGGGGGGGGAGGTCGAATTCCGTACACTGCTATAAAACTATATTTCTTGTGGCTATTTTAATTATTTTCATCACCTTTCAACATGTTCAACAGATTGTTGTTACCAATTCGAACTCTTGGGCTATTTCTATAATTCCAAGAACAACCCTAATCTGACAACCGAGTTGTGTATTGCATCCTGCAAAGAGGGCGGCCAATACGCTTACGCTGGTGTACCTGTCGTCAGTCACGACGGTGATGGCAAGCACTGTTTCTGCGGAAATAATGCTAGCTCAAACTACACTTGCATGGATACGAACTGGAAATGCCCGTGCTCTGAGTCTGAAAGCAGGATTGTCTGTAGCAATTTCGGAGGAATTTCTGTTTTTGATCGTAAGTATAATTGATGACATTACTGTTGCTGGTATTATTATTATTATTATCATTATTATCATCATTATTGTTATTACTATTATTATTATTATTATTATCATACTAACTAGTGTAGTAGAAGTAGCAGTAGTAGTATTTGAATTCAAATAATAGGGCCAATTCTTAAGGGTCTTCAGGAAAAACTATATAGGCCTAATATAATTATATAGAGAGACTCAAATGATTGCCGCGAAGGTATGGAAGGGGTGCTTTTACGGCAGGCCAATGAGATGCCGAGAAATCTGAATTTGGGATAAGGCATCAGAATTTTGAATTATGTGTTACTCCGCTGCTAACATGCCAAGGGAGACAGAATAACCCTACATTAGGCGCCTAGGCACAACCATCTTAGGGAAATAGAACGACCCGACGCCTATAATTCCAACCCTACCCAAAAAGGATGAAGCACCAGCCTCGGACATTGACATAGATTCATATCTGCCACCACTTCAATGGGGATAAAATTACCCCGCTCCTACTCGCTAGATCGATAGGAGCCATCAGCCATTTCAACTACATGGGTTCATACAATTCAGTTAACAACTAAATTATTTATACCCTTACCAACTTTTGCATTTCTTGTGAAGTATGTGAAAAATTGATTTGTCCTGATTTATATTTTTTTTAGAATGTGCAAAGCTTATAATTTTAACGAAATTTAAGCAAAGGCCCTACATAAAATTCAACAAGTCCACTTTTGTTATCTTGAGTAAAACGCAAAAAACACACACCCCCCCCCCCCCTTTACAAAAAAAATTGCAAAGAGGTATGAATAAGGGAAAGAGCAATGTCGATCTGGCCCTGCTCAGTGGCTGCCGGGCTCACGATTATTGGGCCAAAGGAATTTTCATTTTCGGTTTAACTTAATAACATTTGGAGTAGACTTTAAAAGATTATTATTATTAATCTAGTTGTAAACTGTATATCCTACCGCTGAAGGGAAGAAAAACAAACATACACTATGAATGGGTTACCAGTCTTTTCATTGCATGGGTTCATAATCCTACTACTGGCAGCACATGAAGGAAAACGATACAAACCTAAATTAGGGAGCAGTCACTTTAATGGCATGGTTTTGTATTATACCGGTGCCACCACACTGGTAAAAGCAAAACCTATAGCAAAGAGTCACAAATTAGCATAGGCAACGTAAGGTGGCGTAACACACATTTAATCAGATTTGGTTTTTATAGTAATATGGATATTTTTATAGCGCCGGTATCCGCCAGGCTCTGACGCTCATGGCGCTGTACACAGGCGCATACGCAGGGGGGAGGGTTTGGGGGTTAACCCCCCCCTTTGGTAATTTTATGTATGTAAACCCCCCTAAAAAAAAAAACCTAAACCCCCCCCCCCCCCCTTTTGATTTTTTTTTTTTTTTTTTTTTATTTAAAAAAAAAAAAATTATGCCCACGGCCCACCTAAAAAAGGTGACCTTACCCCCCAACTGATCAAAATGTCAAATTTCCAAATTTCGAGACCAGCGGTTGGCTAAGTCGTTGCGAAATTTTCGGACCGATTTATAAATGTTAACCCCCCCCCCCCCCCTGAAAATATCCTGCGTACGCGCCTGGCTGTACATATCACTTTCTTAACTAAAATAAAGTAAACTGAAGGAACACAAGTTATTACGTTACATTGAAATGATTAAATAGCACTGTTTAGAAAGAGATGGGTTTTTAGAGAAACTTTGAAGTCATGGAGGGCAATTAAGTTACGAATACTAAGTGGGATTGGGTAGGCTTCGTTAGAATCGTTACTAATTATTAGGGACTAACTGCAAGACCCCCTTTTTCCTGTATTGTTTTCTGTTTCTAGTTCTTCCTGGTCCTGAAAACTATGTTACTCCCAGAAAGCAAAGGACGACCGAAAAGTCAACTAGCGTGATGGCAATTTCTACGAATTATGGTAACTTAATATTTTATCCTAAAGCTAGCCCGGCCTTTATCATGGTTTTAAACAATTAACAACAGTGTTATACTTTGGTGTGTCTGTGATTGAACATGTTGATGTTCAAACCATCTTTAAAAAAGTAATTCCAAGTGAACCAAACACCGTATTAAGTCAACGTGGATTTTTTTTTTGCAGACGAAAATACCTCGTATTTAATGGTTTAAAAAAAACGCTAACATGTATCACAGGGTCTCCTGCCTACAACACAAGACAGAAGGGCATAACATCGAAATGGCTAAGAGGCACTATAGTCAGGTTTCTCTAGTATCTTAGGTGAATTCGTAAAATTGTAATTACAACTAATCAAGCAGCACCGTTTCCTTCTTCTTCTTCTTCTTCTTCTTCTTCTTTTTTTAAAAGAGTTACCAATGAAAAATAAATAGTTTAAAAAGTGCCCTATAGACACCACAGCACTTTACAAGATAAGTAAATCCGATAAACCTAAATCCACTATGTCACGTGATGTTGTTGTTGTGGATAATGATGTTGTTGCTGTTATTGCTACTGCAGTTGCTGTTGTTTTCTTTCTTTTTGTTATAGGATGCATGAACTAACCATTTTTACTAAAACAAAATATTGAAATCAATTGACTGTAGTGCGAATGTCTAATTTCACTCCATGTACCACATTTTAGCAACACTGCAAAACTGGTTCTGGTGACGGAGATTCTTCTTTCCTTTTTAACTATTCTAATATACTGAGTAGGGCTAGAATTATAACTATGAACCACCATGACCATGTCCCATATTTCCCTCTTCTACATAAAGATCTATATATTTGATCGTTTTACATTTTGTTGTCATCATGCGGTCTGTACCTTGCCAATTCTTCTTCCGGGTCAACTCAGTAGACAGTCATCTCAGAAGACCAACAGCCCCCCAACATCGACAAGGTCGGTCTGGTCAACCTTGTGACTTACTCTCGCTCTCAATGGCCTTCTGAGTCTTTCTGACAACAATTTTTTCAGAAGAGTTCACGAAACCAACATTGTCGGTCTCGTGGGCTGTTAACATATTCTGCATCGCCATATCGTCGATATATTTACATGTTACAAAAATTATGTTTGTCATTATTTTGAGGGATCCACATTTTACAAGCTCTGCTTTTCATTGGATCCCGCTCCATTTCCACAGGTTTATCTCTAAAAAGAAAAATTATAAAACCCATTATACTGGATATGTATGTATACTTTCTATTTCACAACCATGTAAAATGTATTATATTATTGAATGCTGAATTGTATATCTGATTTCTTGTCAAAATTACTGTTCTGTTGAAAATGAAAAATAAAAACTGAAACTGAAACTGAGTCCTGTTTTGTCATTATTTTGCAGCTGGGCAACAGTCAACGATAACTCAGCATGAACCTACACCGCCCTTTATCACCAAAAAAGGTAGTACTGTATTACAAAGTATTTTCATATTTTTATTTTATCAAGGGGACTTTGTTATTCCTTTATCATAGCCTTCACCTGTATGCTCTATATATTCCAGTGTATGAGAACGTGCTCACGGCCTCACGCGTTTTATATTTGGTAAAGAGAAAAACAATTATGCAACAATATGTAATGTAATGCTGCATTATTCCCTCTAAATTCTTAAAGTTTGGACTTTTATTCGAGAAAAAAAAATCAAGAGGCATCATTCAACTCAAATTACCTGTCTCTTTTGATAGGCCTACCACGCACTGATTCTTTCTACTGCAGTTGCCATTATTAATATTGTTGATATTATCATTGTTATTTATGATTATTATTATTATTATTATTATCATTAATATATATATTTTATGGAGCTTGTGGCAGATTAGCCTTGTGCTAAACAAGCTATTTAAGTAGTATTTTACTACTACTACTACTACTTAATATTTCTCTTTTCCTTTCTCCCTTTTTTCCTGTTTGACTTAAAGGAGTGACGGCCGTGGTCCTAGGAACTCTATGTGGAATCCTGCTCATCTATAGTGTTGTAGTTTCTTTGTTGCTTTACTTATCAAGGTATGAGTTAATACACTTCCTAACAATATCATAGACCAGTTCGTAGTTAGCATGTATTACAAGTGACCCAAAACTAAACACAGATCTTTTACACATGGAGTAGTCCCACTTCCACCTGTCTTCCATAGAATGTACCGTCATGACGGTGTATAAAATGAATAACGATTACATGACTTTCATGAGTACATAATTATCTTGTATTCTTTCCGAAGTGTTTAACAATTGTGGTACAGACCTTCATCTGCCTGTGCACAGACTGCCCCCCCCCCCCCCAAAAAAAAAAAAAAAAAAAAAACGCCGGCCAAAAACAAACAAAAAAGAGAAAAAAGAAAGGAAAAGGACGTAGGAAGAAAAAGAGTCGAAAACGGTACATTCTCTAATAATATAATGAAACGTCAAAGCTTCCACGCTTCGCGCGGGAGGGGGGGGGGGAAAACTGAATTAAGATAAAGATTAATAATCGAGAATGGTACAACGAATAGTCTTCTTTCTCTAATAATTTAATGAAACGTCAAAGCTTCCGCGCTTCGTGCGGGAGGGGGGAAACTGAATTCAGACAAGGATTAATAGTCGAGCATGGTACAACGAATCGTCTCCTTTCTTTAATAATTTAATGAAACGTCAGAGCTTCCGCGCTATGTGCGGATGAAGGGGAACATGATTCAAACAAGGATTAAGAGTCAAGAACAGTACAACGAATCGTCTTCTTTCTCTAATAATTTAATGAAACGTCAAAAGAAACTGAATTTAGACAAGGATTAAGAGTCGAGAAAGGTACAACGAATCGCCTTCTTTCGTACAACGAATCGTCTTCTTAATTAAACGTCAAAGCTTTCCCGCGCGAAGTCCCCCCCCCCCCCACCCTGCACCAATCCCCCCAGGGAGCGCGCTTCACGCGCTCTGTAAGTAATTCACACGTTTCGCGTGCTCATTACCGCCCCCCCCTAAAATAAAATCCTGGCTACGCGCTTGGTATCTACGAACTTGTTATTGGATCAATAGGAGCTCGCTCCTTGTATTGGTAACATCTATGGAAATACGACAACATGATGAAATGGTTGTATTAAATAGAAGTGCACTCTCCGTTGTAGTCACAATTTTTATCAACAGAATCGTTGTATCCTTGTATGACATTTCAGACGAGCTCGACGATCCTTGAGGAACTCTAAAGAGCCCACTGCTAAGCAGAAACCGTACACCGGTCTTGATCGGACGAATCCTGAATGCCATTCCTGTCAAGGCATATACCTGAGCCCGAACGGAGAAAGAAATCAATGCCCGAATTCCTTCCAATCTCATTCCTACCAAGAGATCGTAACTCCTTGCTCCTCCTACCGAAATGACGCAGTGGGGCAAGTGCACGGACGACAGGCGGGGCAGGAAGCAAGAAGAAATGCCCCGGACGAACTCGATGACGAGAATTACGTCATACCTGAACTCTAAAAAATATCTGTAATGTAAGGAACCCGGAAAATTGATCCGGACGTTATTATTTTATCATAGATACAGGGTTTTGATTATGATCGCAGTTTGGTTGTAGGGTAGGTTTAGGTTTAGGATTAGATTACAGTTTGGTATAGTGTTTGATACATGGTTAAAGTTAAGTATATGGCTAGTGTATATGAACACGACTGCGGAGTAATCGTCGCCGGAGTATATGTCGTAGCACCCGGGTTTTAACTGTGTTTCATATCTCAAATGATTACAAATTCGTTTATTCATAAAATTAAGAAAATAGATTTAGCTTATCACTAATAGCATACCTGTATAGTGTATATAATATATGCCCTATATCTTATATTTTTTCCAAAATGTAGAACAAACGTGTACGAGAACAATTGTTTTTGTTATAAAAGGAATATCGTCACGCATTTACCCGTGTCTATACATACATTTTATTCACATGTTCGGCAGTAGTTTCAATAAAGTGTATAACTGTCAATGTCATCACTGACAAAGGAGATAGTTTAGACGAGAAGAATAGAAGAATGGATCATTATGTCAACATGCAGATTCCTGTTATTTCATGCCATTAGCGTAGTTGTATATCACCATATTTTATATTTTGGAGATGCATACCGGATAAGTTTACCAGTTTGTCAGTTTTGATTTAACTAAATCAAGATTTGATATGAGCTGACGAATGTATACCCAATTTAATTGGAAAATGTAATCACTCTGTATTATGTCTTCAAATTTTTGTCGAATTCGATTATGTACGTAACAAAGCCAAAGATTGACCGTGACTAGTTTCTATGCTGTACTAAATTATGCAATATTATTCAATAGTGGTTGAATAATAACCAGTACCCGACTTCCAGTAGTTTTGTCGGCACTCACCCGATTTATGATATGGAGCTGGGTTAGTATTTCGTAATGTGGATAATTATGGCCAAGATGAAGATGGCACTGGTCACATGTATACGCTGTGGATTATTGCTGTTTCGTTTATAAAATATTATGATCATAAACATTTATGAAATTGTCTTCCATGTTAGACTGAGATTCAGATGAATCTATTTACTTTATTATAATAGTGCATGATATAAATAACGTAACAACAATATGCCATTGAATTGATTTAAGTTACTATTTAACTTTTCTAAAATACATGTCGATATAATTTTTCTAAAGATAAAAAAAAAAAATGTATTTCTGTCATTCCTTTTCCCAGTCCTACTGTCATGACGTCAGCTACTAAAGTAGACCTCATGCCATTTTAAAGCTCATTCGAACAAGTCAGAAGTCAAATTGAACACAAAAATAAGTCCAGACTGACATCTAAATTATTTCTTTCTGTCGACCATAATTGAATAAAAAGATTTTAAAAACCTTGAGTAAGCAAATCCGACAAATTCTATAGATTTTAACCTGGATCACGTGCCCCAAATTACAAACAATAAGACACATGCACACACAAAGGCGAGCCAAAAGGAAACCAATCAACCAGGGACGGCGATTTCTTTCCATGACCGGCGGAGGGGGGGGGGGGGGGGGCGAAATGCGAGGGGGAATCTGTTTTCCTGGAATACAGATTTTCTACAATATTTACTTCTACATTTTAAAGGATATTATGCGAGGAAGCGTAGCGACCGAGCGACAAGATTTTTGCATTTGTATTAGTCTAAACGCTGCACTCTTGGACCCTCCAGAGCCTAAAAGTGTGTTGAAGTCTTTAGTCAGAATGCTATCCATTTGTTTGTGTGCATTTTTTTTCAAATTTTACGGGGGGAGGGGGAAGATCCCCCCCCCCGAGGCGCTTACGCAGGATTTTTTCGAGGGGGGGGGGGGGTTAACATTTTTAAATCGGGCCGAAAATTTCGCATCGACTCAGCCAGCCGCTGAATAAGCGGGGGGGGGGGGGGGGGGGGGGGGGGGGGGGGGGGGGGGGGGGGGGGGGGGGGGGGGGGGGGGGGGGGGGGGGGGGGGGGGGGGGGGGGGGGGGGGGGGGGGGGGGGGTAAGAGGACACTTTTTTTTTTTTTTTTGTCTCGAAATTTGAAAATTTGACATTTTGCTCCGTTGGGGGGGGGGGGGGTAAGGTCTCCTTTTTTAGGTCAGCTATGGGAATAATTATTATTATTATTATTATTATTTTTTAAGGGGGGTTTATACACATAAAAATAGCAAAGGGGGTTTAACCCCCAAAACACCCCCCCCCCCCCCCTGCGTACGCGCCTGGTCCCCCCCCCCCCCCACCCCCGGGATCGCCGCCCCTGCAACCAACTATCAGGCAGGCACAATTAGCTATTATGAAGATTTTTTTATTAAAAAAAAAAAAAAAAACCAAAGGGGGGTGGGTTTTTTTTTTTTTTAGGGGGGGGGGGGTTAACCCCCAAACACACCCCCCCCCCCTGCGTTCGCGTCTGGAGGAGGTAATCCGCGTTGTAATGACTCAAAATGGCTCTTCTGTAGTATAAATTATGATAGCAAATTATTTTTCAAGAGGACGTTAAATCATTGAATAGCCACAGGTACGGGGATGAAAGCTCTGAAAGAGAGAGAGAGAGAGAGAGAGAGAAAGAGATAGAGAGAGAGAAAAGAGAGAAAGAGAGAGAGAGAGACGGGGAGACGTTGTCATGATTATACAAGATGACACATCAGATTGTGACCTTTAAGTGCGGGGTAGAAAACCTTTTATAGTGGAGAGTACACCGATCAGAGAAAAAAAAAAAATAACGCTGTTAAAGAGAAGTATCACACATAATATTGTGCCTCAATGAGAATAGTTTATAAGATGATGACGTGGATTCTATCAGATGATTGCTTGAAAGTGTACATGTGACCAGGTATTTATTTTGCCTGACGCGTAATTTTTGATAATGACCGGTCATTATCAAAATCATGTTATAAAACATCATTTTATAAAACAAATAAAACACAATCTTATAAAACAAAATAATACACATCATTTTGTTCGGGTAACACTCGATACCTTCAGAACAGTTCGAACACCCTCGGCTGTCGTCTCGGGCTTGTTAGACTGTTCCAAAGGTACCTTTGTGTGGTTATTCTTATTAGTACCCTCAATGCTGTCTATTGTACATTGTACATGAGGCGTTATTAATAACGTAGGACTGCGTCAGAGACGGATGCGTTATTATTTTGACATCGTAGGACAACAGATAATGATTGCAAAAAGGATAGTGCATTTTAAAAATTGAAAAATTGCGTTGAATATTTTGTAATGGCGTTATGGCCGTTTCTTGTGAAGAATCATTTCAGATGAGTGCGTTATAATGTACGTGAGAGTAATCAATACTCTCTCTCTCCGTCTGTCTGTCTCTCTCTCTCCTCTTCTCTCTCTCTCTCTCTCTCATTCTCTATCTCCTCTTCTCTCTCCCTTCTCTCTCTCATTCTCTATCTCCTCTCTCTCTCTCTCACTCTCTATCCGCTTGCTCCCTCTCTCTCTCTCTCTCCTTCTCTATCTCCTCTTCTCTCTCTCTCACTCTCTATCCGCTTCTCTCTCTCTCTCTCTCTCCTTCTCTCTCTCTCTCTGTCACTCTGTTTCTCTCTCTCTCTCTCTCTCATTCTCTATCTCCTCTTCCCTCTCCCCTTCTCTCTCTCATTCTCTATCTCCTCTTCTCTCTCTCTCTCCCCTTCTCTCTCTCTCTCTGTCACTCTCTCTCTCTCTCTCTATCCGCTTGCTCCCTCTCTCTCTCTCTCATTCTCTATCTCCTCTTCTCTCTCTCTCACTCTCTATCCGCTTGCTCCCTCTCTCTCTCTCTCATTCTCTATCTCCTCTTCTCTCTCTCTCACTCTCTATCCGCTTGCTCCCTCTCTCTCTCTCTCATTCTCTATCTCCTCTTCTCTCTCTCTCACTCTCTATCCGCTTGCTCCCTCTCTCTCTCTCCCTTCTCTCTCTCTCTCTGTCACTCTGTTCTCTCTCTCTCTCTCTCTCTCTCTCATCTCTATCTCCTCTTCCCTCTCCCCTTCTCTCTCTCATTCTCTATCTCCTCTTCTCTCTCTCTCTCCCCTTCTCTCTCTCTCTCTGTCACTCTCTCTCTCTCTCTCTCTCTCCTCTTCTCTCTCTCTCCTCTTCTCTCTCTCTGTCACTCTCTCTCTCTCATTCTCTATCTCCTCTCCCTCTCCCCTTCTCTCTCTCATTCTCTATCTCCTCTTCTCTCTCTCTCACTCTCTATCCGCTTGCTCCCTCTCTCTCTCCCCCCTTCTCTCTCTCTCTCTCTCTCTGTCACTCTGTTTCTCCCTCTCTCTCTCATTCTCTATCTCCTCTTCCCTCTCCCTCTCTCTCTCTCTCTCGCTATCATTCTCTATCTACTCTTCCCCCTCTCTCTCTCTCTCTCTCTCTCTATCTCTACCCCCTTGCTCTCTCTCTCTGTCACTCTGTCCCTCACTCTCTCTCTCTCTCTATCTCTCTATCTCCTCTTCTCCTACCTATTCCTCCCCTCTCCCCCTCTCTCTCATTCTATATCTCCTCTCCCCCCCTCTCTCTCCCCCTCTCTCTCATCTCTCTCCCTCTCTCTCTCTCATTCACATTCTCCATCTCCTCCTCCTCCCTCTACTTTTTTTTCTCTCTCTCTCTCTCTCTCTCTCTCTCTCTTACCATAGTTGTCCTTGGTTGGCAAGAGCTTAAAAAAACACTGCATTCAGCTTCAAAATCATTGTGGAAGGAAATGAGAATCATTAAGGCCTCGTTCCTATTCGTTCGTTCGTGTCTCCTTAGATCAAGATTAATGTAATCTTGATCTTCGGAGTAGTTGCTACAACCGGCCGTGTCAGACACGTTGCCCCGGGGTGCGAGATAGGACTCTTGTAGCGTGCCCCCATTTTAAAACAATTATACAGTTACAGTTAACATTACATTTAATTAATAGAATGAAACTATTAAAATTACTCTCATGTTACGGGAAAAAATATTGCATATATATTATGAATCAATTGATTTGGTCGATCCAGTTCGATGGCACAAACACGTACGGCACTACTGGACAGAGATCCTAATAATTCCTATCCTATTCATTAATGCATACAGATGATGTAGAACTATAATTATGTCTACAGGGACATCCATTGACAGTATGCACTATAACAATCCATATTATTTTAAAAATCTCTTGTAAATGGAATAAGAATAATATCTTTCTTAGGTTACATCTCCATGGACGATGACGCTATTCAATTACCAACTAATGGATATACCCTCGGCCATCATTTCTTTTTTCTCATTAAAGGTAATTATCTATGTTTCATTTCAGAGAAGCACACCTGGGTAAATGGGAAGGAGAAAGTCATTATGGTTGTTTGTTCCATTTCTGTTTTGCTTTTTTGCCTTTTTGCTATCTTCCAAAAAAAAAAAAAATCTTTCAATAAGTTAACTTCTCATGCTTCTTGATCACACGGCCACTGCGGGTAGTCTGCTGGTGGTCTACTTCAGCTGGAGGGCTGGCACAGGGGGTTGGGGTTGGAGAACGTCCGCCATCGGAGGTTGGATCAAACGTCATCTCTTCGCGTGTAGGAGTATTGGGTGTCTGGGTTGCCTCCTCATCATGATGGATACGCCTGCAAGGGCTCAATATCATCGAGGTGGTGCGGGTTTCTGCGTAGCACCCTTCCATTAGGTGTCTCGCCCTGGGTCAACTAAATAAATGATTGCAAGCCAACAATCCCTTGGTTTGAAAAAAAAAAATGATCTCTTACACTGCCAACTCAATGTAGAATAAAACAAAACAATTTTCTTTTTTCCTATAGGTGTTCATGCAGTATATCGTACTTTTTATTCTTTATTTGTTCAATTGGTAAGATTACCTTCAGTGCTTGCTATGTTAGAAATATTATATTGTCCACTTTGATTTTTTTTTTAAATAAAAGAGTTGTGAATGTGTAAACTGGCGATTTAGTCATGGGTTATGATGTAGTCATGGACAACTCTCCGTTTGTAATGTACAAACAATGTCATTAATTTCTGTTCTTCTCCGAAGTGCCTCTCTCATGGAGCACTACCAAAAATTTATATTATATATATATATATATATATATATATATATATATATATATATATATATATAATATTATAATAGGTGCTATACGAAGGAGAGACCCTCCTGATTCATAGATTTTGACAAATTGACAGTTAAGTCATTTTGTGTATTGAAAGGAATTGGAAAATAGCCCGGCACTTCGTCACCATGACACTAACGATTTTAATTGCCCATAAAATTCCAAAATTTCTTACTTTTTGGTCGATTTCATTCATTCGTTTACCAGTCAACTTCTTTTATAAATTTCTGCTATCTTTTGATTAAATTTTTTGTAAATCCTTTCATTATCTATCAAGTTGGATTTTATTTTAATTCCCCTTGTGGCTTTCAGTTCTCAACATTTTCCATTATGAAATTAATATTAGCATGTTTTCTAAAATAATGAGTATTATATGCCGTTATTGGCATAACAAAGTAATGGAAGGCTTTTGATATGAACGGGATAATAACCAAATCCAGCTGCGTTTGTAGCGGAGTTTCAAGTGCCCCCTCCAAAAAAGATGATTTTTTAAAAATTATACACGATTTAAGCAAGGCACGAGTATGAAAATAATGCGGAAACCAACATGATCCTCCGCCCACAAAAGCCCCCCCCCCCCCACATAATTTTTTTAATAAATATATATATTATAGAACCGCAGCTGCCTAAATCTTGATGGATTAGTTTTTTTAAATTTAACATGGATAATTGCTGAACCAACCATCACTACCGAGCAGCGCCATTCCGATTTTGATTTATTTAAGTCTTCATCCTACACCCAGAGCCCATTATCACATAAGCCATTGGATTCTTTAACCTATAAGCACTGACTTTAATTATATATTATACAAAACCCAGATTACCGGGATGGATTTGCGACTATGCGCCGCAAGATTACTCGATCAGTTTCACGGCAACAAAAGGATTTTCTACAAAATTGGGAAAAACTATTTAAAGGGCTAGTTAAGTTCTTGTTTAAGACCGCAAATGCCATCAAATTGCATGATTATTGCTCTTATTCTTATTATATGACATGTCTAGTGCCCTTTTAGAACCTAAATTGCTATAAAGGTAATTTTAGATCCCAAAATGTGTGAATTTAGATTGAATACGATCATACCAATTCAGCTCCACTTTTAAAAAAATGTGGTGACCGTTAATTAATTAATAATCAAAATACACGGGCCGGCATTGGCTGGAATAAAACGTATGTGGAGCTATCTCGTTGTTCAACGGCTGGTTCAAAATTACCGAATATTATTATGTGGGGCACCACAATGAAATGGTTATATCTATGGATATTTCAGCCGTCTCTGAACTGATTTTGATTAAACAAGGATGATTTTGTGTTTCAAATTTGACACTCAGTTTTTCATTATCTCCCCAACAGAAATTATTTTGTGTAGCACGTACCCTCTGCAACAAAACTCAACCATCCCTTTAAGAGAGTGTTAGAAAATCCTTCAATGATTTTGTTATCTTAAATAGATTTTAAATCTGTGCATCAGACATAATAAATTTCAAATCCTCACATGACACTAATGAAATTTTCAACTTATTTTCAAAGACAACTGGGACAACAAAGCTATTAACCATGTAATACTAAAGAAAAAACTTTTAAAATTAGGTTATACGATAGCATTCAACTGCAGACGGCTCAACAGCAATGCTATGTTTCCACATTATCTAACTCTTTCAAGTTTCACATAATTTACATATACTGAAGTATTCAAGCTGTTTATACTGTGTTTACAACGTTCCCGCACTGCGCCCACATCGTTAACACTAATCAGACTTAAAGATGAAGTTGAGTTCTGGTCATGCGATTGCATTGTGAAAGAAACGGTGTGGAACCGACCAGAAAAGGTTGATCATCTAGCATATAAGAATTTGTGTGTATTGCAGGTTCTGGAATCATCAAAATGATAAGAAATTTGGCCAAGTCTTGGTAAAGTTACAAACACTGTACACAGAAAGATGTATATGGACTACACGAACACGTGGCGTAAAAAGCCGGCCCCCCGATTTTTACGATGTTACATGCATATTTAGAATATGAAGGCATTTGAAGAGCCATGCTCTTCAGGGAACATGTCTTATCTGATGTTCTTCCACACTTGCATAATAAGAATGAGTAACGTTCACAAATTATTTTTCACCTCTTCCCAGAACTCAACCTTCTCTTTAATACACCGTTAACAATTGCCAATTGCTTTAACACTGTCTACGTGTTGTTTAAACCATGTCCACACGGTCACATTGTTTTCAATTGGTTCTAAATGTAATTTCCACACTTGTCTATTCGCATTGTTCCAGCAGTATATATAATAACTATTTCCACACTATCCACACTATCAGCCTAGTGTTCACACACTCTCCAGGCTGTTCATTTTATTACCACATCACATGCAATTCCACATTGTTTCAAATGTTTCCACACTATTTACAGTCTCTCCTTACTGTTCACACGCTCCACACCCTGTTCACATTATGTCCACATTGTTTACACGCTCCACACCCTGTTCACATTATGTCCACATTGTTTACCCGCTCCACACCCTGTTCACATTATGTCCACATTGTTTACCCGCTCCACACCCTGTTCACATTATTTCCACATTGTTTACACGCTCCACACCCTGTTCACATTATGTCCACATTGTTTACACGCTCCACACCCTGTTCACATTATGTCCACATTGTTCACACGCTCCACACCCTGTTCACATTATGTCCACATTGTTCACACGCTCCACACCCTGTTCACATTATGTCCACATTGTTTACACGCTCCACACCCTGTTCACATTATTTCCACATTGTTTACACGCTCCACACCCTGTTCACATTATTTCCACATTGTTTACCCGCTCCACACCCTGTTCACATTATTTCCACATTGTTTACACGCTCCACACCCTGTTCACATTATGTCCACATTGTTTACACGCTCCACACCCTGTTCACATTATGTCCACATTGTTTACCCGCTCCACACCCTGTTCACATTATTTCCACATTGTTTACACGCTCCACACCCTGTTCACATTATGTCCACATTGTTTACACGCTCCACACCCTGTTCACATTATGTCCACATTGTTCACACGCTCCACACCCTGTTCACATTATGTCCACATTGTTCACACGCTCCACACCCTGTTCACATTATGTCCACATTGTTCACACGCTCCACACCCTGTTCACATTATTTCCACATTGTTTACACGCTCCACACCCTGTTCACATTATTTCCACATTGTTTACACGCTCCACACCCTGTTCACATTATGTCCACATTGTTTACACGCTCCACACCCTGTTCACATTATTTCCACATTGTTTACACGCTCCACACCCTGTTCACATTATGTCCACATTGTTTACACGCTCCACACCCTGTTCACATTATGTCCACATTGTTTACACGCTCCACACCCTGTTCACGTTATGTCCACATTGTTCACACGCTCCACACCCTGTTCACATTATTTCGACATTGTTTACACGCTCCACACCCTGTTCACATTATGTCCACATTGTTTACACGCTCCACACCCTGTTCACATTATGTCCACATTGTTTACACGCTCCACACCCTGTTCACATTATTTCCTCATTGCTTACACGCTCCACACCCTGTTCACATTATTTCCACATTGTTTACACGCTCCACACCCTGTTCACATTATGTCCACATTGTTTACCCGCTCCACACCCTGTTCACATTATTTCCACATTGTTTACACTATTTTTTCACACTTTTCACAATTCCCCACACTGTTTATATATACTGTTTCAACTATTCACATTGTTACCACATTCTTCAAAATGTTTTCCGAAGTATTTTTCCCCATTATAAATTATGTTTAATTTTGCGTTTTGAAGACAGACATTCATTCTTTCATTTTTGCATTTTCTTTCTTATGTAAATGTATACGATTCTTTGTCATGATGTAATGTGTTCCCTAATATTTTGAAGCGCCTTGAGCATTTAATTAAAATGGATAATGGCGCTATATAAATCTCATGTATTATTATTATTATGTATCTTTATTTTGTTTTGAAATCATTCCTTTGAAGGCAGTCATCCTAGTCAAGCATCGTTTATGATTGCGGTCTCCTGCACATTTTCCACAGAGAGTTCGGATAATACTTTAAATTAAAAAAATAATAAGTTATAGAAATATTAAGTTCGTTATCATAATAGTATATACGTAAATAACCTTTTGACATTAAGTTATTATTGTTTGTATATGTTATAGTATACCTTACGATTATATGTTCTTTGTTATTCAGTTATTGTATTTCGAAAAATGTAGGAATAAGAAAATTAGTATTAACACAACATCCCTATACTTTTCATATACACTTTCCACACTTTCCACATTCTCCTCTGTCTCTATTATACATTGAATACACACTGTGAATTATCATGTACTTTCTGATAGAGATTCACATTAAATGGCGTTTATTTCTTACGTGACAACATCATGCGATGTTAAGTGATAATACCTGCTTGGCAAACAGATCGCCAAACCAAATCCAGCAGAATTCCAAAACCGAGTGTTAACCATTCTTGATCATAAGATAAGTAGGCCTACGTGCTTCTCTAATTGCTTTCTTTTCATTCACAGATTGTATGGAACTATAGCAAACAGATAATGGACGGGGGTAATCGATACATCACAACAGGGAGCGGCAATATTGACGGAGAGAGGCAGCAAACTGTCCGTCTCCTGTTGCACTTTTCACACAATCAATTCGGATTGCAGGTCATTTGAATTTTGTTCTATGAAAAAAAATACTACTACGAGAACTTCACCAAAATATTTTTCTCACTGATCGTTGATAAAAAAGCATATTAAAAAAACGTTCCCCGGCTTTTTCTTGACTATAAACGAATCAATAGTTAATATATCGTTGTAATGGCAGTGAAGTAAATGCATTTTGTAATTGAATTGGTTCTCACGTATTCTTCACAAATAAGGTGCGTCCATACACTATGTTTGATATGAAGCTCGAAATAACGAACTATAATTCGCCTTTCCTCCTTGTTGATGGACTTCTTATAATTTTTAATGAAATGATGTCTTCCCCTGCGTAACGTTATCAGATACGAAACTGCAAAACACTTTATATATCGACTGGCCAATAGCGTGATGATAATTTTTTTTAGAAGATCAGCGTTTTTACTATTTGTCATACAGGTGAGGTCAGATTAAGGTAGTGAGGTTGTATATAATTGAACAGCTCAACAAGACCATTTCGAAGTTAGCACAGGGGTCAAATGACACTAAATATCCACAGATCTTTTACTCATGGAGATGTCCCACTTTGTGTATTTTAGAATAATCAATGCCAAAAGTCATGTATGTGCTTCATGAAAAGCTTTTTTTTTGCCCCCTTGTATCATAGAATGTACCGTAGGTGCACACAGGAATAATGATTACATAACATTATGATCAGGCATTCATCTCGGTGGGTTTTACAATTTTATCACAAATGACCTTTATCTGCCCATGCGCAGATAGTATTTACAACGATTATAACGATGATTATGACAACAATTATAATACTATTATACAAGCTACTTCGGCTACAACTATTACTACTATATACTAATAATGATAATAATTGAACAAATAATGATAATAATAACAATGAGTTTTAAGAGCTGGAGTCTGCATGGCAACAAATTATTCCCAGCAGTTGCCGTTTTCTAAGGTTACACAATAGAATGTACAGGTATGATGTTACCATCGATGTCCGAGGTTCGATGCCGCCTCTACATCATTGAAAGGTTGAGTATAGTGATTTTTTTTTTCACAAAGAAATATCGTAAATATTTCACTTTTTATTTGCACTAACGAGGGAAAAATCGAAAAGATGATAGATATGAATACAAAAGCCTATTTGTGTCAAGAAATTTGCTTACATTGTATAAAAGCAGTTTTAATCTGTAAAAAATAGTAACATTTTGCAATCCTAAAAGCTGTAATTTGACACTTCCTATTTACGGCACACAAAAATAAGAAGTGAAATTGTTGATGTACAGTTATTTATGATGTTATTTTCGAGAGATTTTCAGTGCAATCATTCATTTTCCTTTTTTTTTTGTATCTTTCTTGCTTTTTGCCTTCTACGATTTTCCTCCACTTTTCCTCTCCTCCTTTCCCCCCCCCCCAAATCGATAATTTCTAAGCTACATATTTTTTCTATTTATTGATTTTTTAAGTATATTTTGTATACATGGTATATTGTAAAACAGCATCTGAGGAACCAGGCAGGAATCCTTTGTCTACGTTTCTGCAAGGAAGATCCAGTTAATGGAAACCTAACCTCAAAGAAAAAGTGTAGGTATTCTGAAAAACGAGATAAATTCCTGCCTTTTGATGTACAATAAATCTTACGAACGTGTACAAGTGATAACTAAATGAAAATTTCTTGGCATGATGTAATGCTTTTTAGCATGACATGGGCGCAGCCATTTTCTTGAAAATTTGACGTATCAGGCGAAGTTGTACATGTACCAGGCATGCACCAAGCTTTAATTGGAAATACTTTTTAATTCAATATCAAAACCTTTACTTTACAATGGGGGAAAGTCATAGCCGAGAAGGTAAAAATTACATTTGGTGAAAAATATATGATAAGGTAACTATAATTGTAACTCATTTATTAAAAAGTACTAAAATATAGCGGTTGAAAAATCTATTTCATTTATGCGAAACCTTCTGCGTTCTGGCAATTGAAAACAAAGGGTAATCGCAGGTAAATTAAATGCTTCAACACTGCAAACACACCTGGGGAAAAAGCATCCATAAATTTGAAGAACAAATTTTTAATTGGAAAATGTTCCAAATGGCGCTTACAAAATTCCAGAGTGTAAAGCGAAACATAAAACACGTTGACTCATGAAATTGGAAAAATCACATTACGTTACCAGGGGAATAGGTATTTTTATGGATCTTTTGAAGAGGCCAGACGTGTTAATAATGCAAAGTGGCATATTGTTCCACGTTTCCAAGGCAACCCCTGTAAAACGTTTTTTCGCTTGATGAGAGTCTGGATTTGGGAAAAAAATTGTTAATATCTTGTCAGTTGTTGTGCAAAGGTTACAAGCTGGAGTATAATTTGTAGCGTAACATTAAGATATTCAGGTGCCAAGTGATATAATAATAATAATAATAATAATAATAATAATAATAATAACTTTTATTTACCCAGGGTAGCCACTTCAGTTATGAAACTGTTCTTCCAGCGGGCCCTGCATAACATAATATGTTATTACTACCCTTCTCCAATCTAATATGCTGAGCGCCTAGCTAGAAGGCAGAAGCTCCCATTGTTATAAGTCTTTGGTATGACTCGGCCGGGGTTCGAACCCACGACCTCCCGTTCATGAGGCGGGCGCTCTAACGACTGAGCCACCATGCCCGGTTGAAATAGACCGGTATAGACTTTTGAATACAGACAAGCAGACCTTGAATTCATAGTGCGTTGTTGCACATGTATAAAGGTAACCAGTGGAATTCCTTGAATGGGTGTAAAGCATAATGAAATATTGACAGGGCATTAATAAAATTCAGGTCTATCTTACTAGGACCATTGTTTATACATCAAAATCTACCAATCTAATATCGTCAGTTAACCTGACATGATAATCGTAATACATATTTGGCTTAAAGAGAAGGTTGAGTTCTGGGAAGAGGTGAAAAATAATTTGTGAGCGTTATCATTCTTATTATGCAAATGTGGAAGAACATCAGATGAGACATGTAACCTGAAAAGCATGGCTCTTTAAATGCCTTCATATTCTAAATATGTCATGTACATCGTAAAACTTCGGGGGGTAGGTTTTTTACGCCACGTGTTCGTGTAGTCCCATATACATCTTTCTGTGTACAATGTTTGTAACTTTACCAAGACTTGGCCAATTTCTTATCATTTTGATGATTCCAGAACCTTGCAATACACAAAAATTCTTATACGCTAGATGATCAACCTGTTCTGGTCGATTCCACATCGTTTCTTTCACAATGCAATCGCATGACCAGAACTCAACTTCATCTTTAAATTGTCATGTTGGTCAAGGTGAAACAGCTGTTTTGATCCATAATGCTATGAATTACAATACTGGGGTGGGGAGGGGCAGAACTGACACAAAATCTAGCTCCTTTCTGATGACGCCTATCATTGTACTGTTCGTGAATACAAACGATTAATGAATAAAATCATTAAAGTTCCTGATTTGACAACGTTGCATGGGTGCATTCTCCAAATTTGAAACTTATAAAAACAGAAAAAAAATATTCTGAAAGTGTAATAAAAAATATACTAAGATATACAAATATTATTGATAGACCCGTCTCCCTACCCGCATATTGGGGATTTCTAAATTCTCTGGGAGCACTTAACTCCCCTAATCAACACCAAAATACATATTATATGAAAAATCACCTAGTGTAGTGCATGTATTTTTGGTAATATGCGACAAAACGAAACAACCCTCATGTTTCCATCAAAAGAAGTTGCCAGTTTATATACATGTACATGTGGCAGGATGCAACAATTGTATTGGGAGGAAATAAAATCATAAAAGCGTGCTTTTCATCTGTTCCTCAATTTTTTGCACCTAGCAAATATGGCCTTGCAATCTTTTCTAAAGTTTGCGTTCAGGAGTGCATAGACAAAGATACTGACAATGTGATTAAGTGTGCGCAGATGATAGCAGAACGAAATAACGCCGCCCTGAGATGCTGTGCTACGGTAGTCAGCCACTGCTTCATCAGGAATATTGGTAAGGATGAAAGATGGTAGCCAGGACAGGATGAGGATGAGGTTGGTCCCGAGCAACATCCGAGTCATGACGCGTTCTTTCTTCTGCCGATTGCGATGGAAAGGCTGACCGGCGTCTTTTCTCGCAGGAACATTGAGTTGGTCTTGACCGACGGAAGCTGGATTAGACGAATAATCCGCAGCAGAAGGAATAGCTGGCACAATTTCGGGTACCTTGATGTGCAGGACCTGGGTGGTTCCTACCTCGGACAGGTTTTTCAGTGGGTTTCCATTGGTTGTTGCGCCTGGTCCTATCCCACTGCTGCCGCCGCGAGACTGCAACTTTGGAGCTGGAGCGGTGGTGACCTTTCCCTGGTTTGTAGGACAATCCGCTGTTGGTCCACTCTGTTGCGGAAGACAAGACTGATTTGTGTTCCAGGCTGGTTTGGCTGTACCGTGGGGTACTTGGACTTCTTTTCCTGTAAGACCTGCCCTAACCTTAATATGTTTGCGAATTTCCAGATAGATGCGGACATAGACGCATGTGCAGATAATCAATGCTAGCAAGTAGGATGCAGATGTGAAGATCTCGTTACTTAAATCCAGCCAGTCGGGTCCCCCTCGGTAAATGCACTTCTTTACCGGACCGATCTGAAACAATATCACATATAAAGCATATTGAAAGTTACCAGATACGGCCAGGCCTATGCTCACTAGGATCACAGCAGTGACCCTGCGTGGGTTTGAGCGTGTCTCTAAGGGTCTACAGACGGCCATGTAACGGTCAAGAGCGATGCAGGATGTCAGGTAGAGCGCCGAAAATGAAAAGGCACGACTCCCATAAATGCTCGACCTACAAACGAAAGCGTTGATAAAGACGCCGCCGAGAGCTCGAACTAGATGTACAGGAGCGATCAAGCAGGCACACAGGTCGATGATGGCGAGGCTCAGAATCAGCAAAGACGTCGTCGTTTTACGTGATTTCTTGGCGAACACCCAAACCACCAAAAAATTTCCTGGCACCCCGACTGCGAAGATGATGGTAAAAAGAGAAACAGCCACTATTGCTGTCACATCCATTTCAAAAATATTTACTCCATCCCTCTCATACACGATGTAATTCTATTTCGTTCGTTTAAAAAAAAGAAAGATGTTGTCTCAACAAGCGATGACAAACACATCAAGAGTAACAATTACTATTATTAGCATATTCGTCTGAAAATTGTCGCTGTACAATAATGGCGCTGTAAAATACGCGGGAAAAAACGTCTTATCGTGTTGAGCTATCAACAATTAATGAATGCAGACTGTGGCATCTTTTTTAACCGTACTGGACAGACAAGAAGTTCTGAAAGGAGAGAGGGAGAGAGTAAGATTATTTTGCTTAAGACACAGTCATAATTCTCTGCGATTTCTATCGGTTGTATGTTTTATATATTACTGCACCCAGATAAGTCGACAGCTAATGAGCTCGATGTCTACGTTTTTCTTTAGAGAGACGGTCACGTGGCCATCCTCTCGCTCGTTATTTCCCCCACCCATTCTGTCTGTCTCTGTCTCTGTCTCTGTCTCTCTCTCTGTCTCTCTCTCTCTCTATTTTCCCTTTCAGCTGGATCTTGTTCATGAATTATTTTCTAGACAGCTATAGAGATTAAATTGGTATCATTATTTAGGTCGAAATTTCTTCGGTTTGAAGAATAATTATGGATCGTAAAGTGTCACGGAAAGATAAATCTGGTTTGCTTTCAAGCGCTTTGGCCTTTGCTGTTTCAAGCTTCAATTAAAAAAAGAAAGTAAAAGTTCACAAGTGTATTTTCCACATTGATATCTCTCTATCTCACCCCCTCGCCCTCCTCTCTCACTCTTCCTCTCTTCCTGCCATTTCCAATCCATCTCTCATACTTTCTTGATATACTCTCCATAATCTCCCACTCCCACTCTCTCTCTCTCTCTCTCTCTTTCTCTCTCTTCATATCCCTTTCTTCTTTTAACGTTTCTTTACACCCCCCCCCCCAAATCTCCGGGGGCTTGAACCCCGAGAATGTATATGTTGTCTTTAACATTAATGTAATGGTTAATAGCTCCTTTAAAAACAATCCATCTTTCTATATCTATTTTCTGATTCGAAGCATGATAGTTATGTAAGACTGCCTGTCACTACCCGCTAATACCCTTTTCAACTCCGCTAACGAGCATTCATTACCCTTTGAATATGACGTTACACCATCTGGTATATAACATTATAAAGGTCGTAAGAATAGTCGCTATATCAATCCCATTAAGATTGTAAGGAAAACACCTCTGAAAGCTTTCTGTTTGTTTTGTTTTTTTTGTCATTTGTATTTTAAAGAGAAGGATGTGCTAAAAATAAAGGGAAAATAACCTTAATCTTGTGATCTTTTCGGTTGATGTTCAAATTTCTTTCATGAAGTAAGTGAAATTTGTATTTTAAAGAGAAGGATGTGCTAAAAATAAAGGGAAAATAATTTAATCTCGTGATCTTTTCGTTTGATGTTCAAATTTCTTTCATGAAGTAAGTGAAGCTTGTAATAAGAATACAAGGCAATATATCAGACGTGATCTCGTAATTCCTAAATGCCGTGTTGAGTATATCCAAAGCATTCTTATGCTACGACTGCCCTTTATTATGGAATAATTCACCTCTTGATGCAAGAACAAAAAAAGCACACTTCACTAATTCAAAACCTACATTAAAGTCCCACTGTCCTACTTGTAGCTACTTGCTCCCTCTAAGTATATAGAAAACCTCCCCAATCGGTGCCTGTTGGTCCCCCATGATCCTCTTTTTCTTATGTTAATTTGAGAGCTGAGTTGATAAGATAGCCACCTGTCAGTGACCTTGCTGTGTGGTATAATCCCCTCTGGCCCAGTAGTATTGACGGTCTTTAAGGAAAAATTTGTTCATATTGTAAAGACAACTGAAAGTTAATAACTATAATTCAAATTATGTGAATTTCAATTGTATATAAGATGTTTTTTCCTGCACTGTAAAAAAGAATTTGTTCATTGGTAATTTTTACGTATTTTTTCCATGTAGAATTTACTTGAAAACATTAGTTTTGCCACTTACTTACTAAATTTAAGTCTTGCTAACTCAAACTTTTAATTTAGTAGAACATACGTGGAATATTTAAGTAAAATCAAATACATAAGAACTTTAAGTAATTTCAGCTTGTATTAATTTAGTAATTTTAACTCAAAATCAGAAATTATACGTATTACTCAAACAATTTATGTTGATTATTCTTATCTTTTTAAAGTAAGGACCGATGCAGTGCGTAATAGAAATATTTACATAATTTATGAATATTCATTAAGACCAAATTAAACTCTTTTTTAAATAAAACAATTCTTTTTTGTGGTTGAATGAAAATTTAAGGACTTTAAAACATTTACTAATTCATTTAACATGGCTAAGCAAAGACAAGACAATTTTTAATTGTTACCCAGTTCAAAACAAATCAAAACTTGATATTTCAGGAAATTGTCAACCAATTTTCCTTTTAAGATGCTACGATCAAGTATATATAAAATTTGGAGCCTTTCAATATGTGTCGAATTGAAGCGTATGTAATAGTTTGTGATGGTGGTAGATATATATATATATACGGTTAAATCTTAAATAGAAATAGTGTTAGTGATTAGCGATTAATCTTAATTAGAAGTAGTGAATGATTAGTGGATGTTACTTGTTAGATTAGATGGGTACCAAATCGTGCAATATGTAATCCTATCATAACTTTTTTTAATTATCTAAAATGATTACAATACTTCAATTATTTACGTTAATATAACTCGATTTAACTGAGTAAAAATTTATTCAGCAAAATAAGTAAATTCTACTTAAGATGCCGTAGGTAATATTTACTTAATAAAAATAAGGCAATTCTTTTCCTCAATTTTATTGAGTTATTTCGACTATTATTTGTTTACAGTGTGACTTGCTAATTTTGGTGTGACTGATTTTAATTCCTATACTTAATTCTCTCCTCATTTTTTCCCCTCTTTCATTTACTATTTTTTCTTTCCTATCAACGTTCTGTTATATAAAATGTAATTTTCATAATAATATCTATAATGTTCTCTCGGTAACTGAGTTAACTTATTATGGGCGTTCCCAGCTCAAGCTATGCTTTCCGGGTTTTCGCCTCCTGTCGTATTTGAATTATTTACTGCATACTCTATGTTGAAATAATTGTTACGTATATCGTGTATATATACATTGTGTTTCATATTGTACTGTTGAGAAGGAAATAAATGTTAATGTTGATAATACTAATAATTGTATGATTGTTTTTACTGGGGGGGGGGGGGGGGCACGTGCCAATTTTTTTTCTTCCAAGATCGGTTGAACGTTTTTAGACCCCTCCCCAGGACGTCGATCAATTACATGTATGTGCCCCGCAAACATCAAACTCTACAGTTCCTCAGGTAGACAAAGGAACATCCCTTCACTGCTATTATGTAAAAATGTGTAGAACAGGTGAATATGCATGTGACACCTGTTCTACACATTTTTACATAGTTTTTTCACAGTTACGAGGCCATTGCTTTGTCACTGAACCATGACAGTACGCAGCAGGGGCTAGGGTACGGGGCAGTTTCAAAGCAATGGCCTCGTAACTGTGAGGCCCCAGGATCAAAACCGTGTCGATATGCTTTATTAGTGCCCTTTTGTGGGGCATTAATATACAAATAATACACAGCAGTGATGAGGGCATTAGTAAGAATTACCCACACAAGGTACCTTTGGAAAAGTCTAACACGCCCGAGGCGATAGCCGAGGGCGTGTTAGACTTTTCTAAGGTACCGAGTATGGGTAAATATACTAATGCCCGAACAAAATGATGTGTATTATTTGTTTTTATAAAATTACAACGTGGATCCTTGTTATTTGATCAATCGCCCTCATCTTAAACTCAAAGGTCCGAATTCACAAAGGAGGTTAATCTAACCCATTGTTTAAATTCTCATTTACATAACCCATTGTTTAAAATAAGCGCAAATTAAGGCGTATACTTTGCCTTGCGCGCGTCTAATATTAGACCTCTGACTTGTGTCGCGCTTATTTTGCGCTAATTTTAGCTAGATGTATTAATTACCGGTCATTACCACTGGGTAATGACCGTTCATTACCCAAATTACGCGTTAGGCAAAATAAATGCCTGGTCACGTGTACGCTTTCAACCAATCATTTGATTAGGATCTACGTCATCATCTTATAATCCTCATTACTGTCATTTATGACTCAAGGGCGTAGGGCCCCTAGTTGATAAGCATAGTAGCATACACATGCTTTAGCAGTCACGCAAATTTGTCAAATTATTATTCAATAAAATCTGAGAATGTCTACTATTATATAGATCTATTATTTTAAAATTATTTTAAAATAATTCCATAAATTGGGGTAAACCAAAAATATTCCAACTATATGAGCGACAGTGTACATCTTTCTGTGTACAGTGTTTGTAACTTTACCAAGACTTGGCCAAATTTCTTATCATTTTGATGATTCCAAAACCTTGCAATACACACAAATTCTTATATGCTACCTGATCAACCTTTTCTGGTCGATTCCAGACCGTGTCTTTCACAATGCAATCGCATGACCAGCACTCAACTTCATCTTTAATTATAGCGTGCACAGCCACACAGGATGGTATATCATATAGTAATATTTGTCTGGAAAAAGGCACGATGGAACCTTTGCAGAATAAACCTGCATATTGAAAAACACTCGAGAATAAAACGGAGATCGATTTGAATGAGGTAGGGGCGTCGAGAATATTTGTTTGTTCACGTACTTAAGTCTTATGAATACAACCTTTCCATGACAAAATAAATGGAATCCAGTCGCCTCTGCGGCACTCGTCAGCTTTTGTCAATGTTAAAATGTAATAATGTTTGGGAAAGATCTGTCAACATATACTGTCAATACAATTTTCTTCCTGACGGATTGCTTGATTTTTTCTTATCTGGTGGTATTACTGAGAGCGTACATATGTCAACTCGAAAAAAGCCCATACTGTACATTCTCGATGATAAGTGTATTCATTAAAAAATGATAAAATCGAGTCTGTCTCGAATGGCTCATTTAA